GCTGAATATAGCTGAAATCCACTGATCTTCTTTGAAACCCAACATGTTTTTTTTTCTAAAATTTGCAAGACTTATTGCAGGTTAGCCACTGAACCGGGAAAACTTTGCATCCAGTGGCGCCACGTAACCTCACTTTTTACTTTTGTACCAACTTTGAAAACGTGATATCTAGCAATATGTATTCTCAAATCGATTGCAAAATGCACATAATCTTCTAGTGTTACTGGTAGATTGAGGTTAAGGCTAAGACACTACGTCACCTGTACCCCTCTAACCTCGGTTAAGCCACGAGTATTCGGCCCAACTCCTACTAGGCATAGAATTAAGTGAATGTTGTTACAAACAATGAACAATGAATTATCGGCTCCGTAAAGCTAACGCGATTGAGCCTTCCAAATAAACGAACTAGATAAAAAAAAGGCAACACCACTGCGGAAATCGAAAACAACCGGGTAATAACCGGGAATTCGGTTGGAGCCTCAGTCCAATATCTGGAATATTTAATTTACAATCTTCTTCCATTTCTTCAAGCTCGGAATTCTGAAATTTTTCATTAGTAGGGTAAACGCTCCTATAGTTGCGGTACGTTAGCAGCGTTAGGTCGCCTTTTACGCCTTGTTTGTGTCGATGGTCTTGGAGACCCACTTCTTCAGGTCATGCCCGGAGACTTCACGGGTGTATTTAGCCACGCAGCGGCCTGACCCGGCAAGGTGATCTGCCTCTTCGTTGTTTAATTTCTTTAATACAGTGGCCATCCTAAGCTTAGAGAATCTTTGAGATGTTCGACGAACTACAGATAGGTTCAGCGAACTTCAAAGATCTTAAAAGTGCTTATGAGAGGATTTGTGAACTTCAGAGACCTTCGAAGAGGTACAGAGAGCTTCAAAGATGTCCAGAGTACACACATCTTAATGGGTGTTCAGGGAAGTCATGGAAGCTCTCAGAGTTTTGAAGGTTTCAAATACTCAAATACGTTCTGATAACGAAATAACCGTTCTGAAAATGGATTTTCGGGAGCTGGTTGACATCATTGCACAGTGGTCAAGAATGGGAATTCAGCAGAAATAGTGGTCCTAGAACTTTTGCTGTAATATTTAGACGTTTGGTGCCTTGGGTAAAACTTTTGTGATTGAAAAGTCCCTTCGTTTGGTGGGTGTAAACATGAGGGTGGCCCTCAAACTAGTTGATATTCCAAAACTAGATTTTTTATTTTTGAAATCAAAGACAATTTAAAGTTGTTGCTGAGTTAATTTCACGCAACTTTAGGGTGTACCTGAAAATGTAGTTTTTTAACTCTAAATCTTTTGTTTAAAATTTTAGCAGTGTCGACTACCTGAAGAAAAAACCTACACACTAACTACATTACAAATTATAATGATATCACCAATCATGTAGGAAAGTGAAACAGGGCTGGTAGCGATCACTGCTGTCAGAAATAGTGATTTTAGTGACCATGTTGAATAAATAAGTCACCAAATAGTGGCTTATAGTTGTAAAAATAGTGACTAAAAAGTGACCTAAGAGTGACCTAAGGCGCATCAAATAAAGACTTATTCAATTATCATCTTATAAACACTTATGTACGATATTAACCTTTGAAGCGAAAGATTCAATAGAAAGTTTATAACAAATCCCACGGTATTAGTCACGGTGTCTACTAACTTCAAAAATCTGGAAAACCGGGAATCCTTAGGAAATTTTTTGTTTATTAAAGTACCTGGAAGTCTCAAAGAATTTAAAAATTTCTTAATAAGGAAAATTTAATTAAAATAAGTTTTTCTAAATTTATAGAACTTTTGTGCAACCGCAATTTTCATGGAAGAATAACGAAATAATTAATATAGCTCTACGATTTTTGCTGAAGTTCTCTAGATTTTCCTGAACTTTATAAATCTTCTCTTCAATTGTCGACACTAATTTAAAACTTCTTCTATAGTCTCGACTTTCCTGGTGCCTAAACGATTACTGAATTTCTTTAAAGTTCTCTAGACTGCTCTGAATTTATCAGTATTTTTAAGAACCCGCAACTTTACTGAAATTGATTAATTTGCATTGAAATTTCGAAAATGTTCCTTGAGTATTATAACAATTGTTAACACTCGCTTTTCCCTGAACTTATCTATGCTTACCTGAAGTTCTCTAAATTTGTTTAATAATCCAGCAAACTTTCTGATATATATTCAAAATTCCCTAACACTTCTGACGTTTTAGGATCAATTATAGAATTCTTGGAATACCTTATAGGGTGGATTAACGTCAGAAGTGTTAGGGAATTATGAATATATATCAGAAAATTTACACCTAGTAAGTGCTGCAAATTTGCTTAAGTTAATGGGATTATTCTGAAGCTATCTGATCGTCCTCGAAGTACTCGGAAGTTCACTGAATATCATTAAACTATCTAAAAATATCTACATTTAGTTCTCTTGAATTTCTTGAAAATATCAATGCTTGCTAAAAGTTCTCGCTTTTTATTAATGAAACTTCTTTGATGTTCTCTAATCAACTTAGCTAAATTTTCGTATTTTTTGAATCTCTTAAAATACTCTCACGTTTTTCGAATGTTCATACAATTTCCAGGAATTCTCTCGGAGCTTTGCTGAAGTTTTCAGAAACTCACTAAGTTTCATGAAACTTCTTTAAGGTTTTTAATATTTCTCTGGCCTGTCTTGATGTTCTCGAAGCTTCCATAAAGCTCTTAGTTCTATTGAAGGTCTCGGTTCTGCTCGGAAATAAATATAATTCCAGTAACCTCCTTTAAATTTCCCTGAAATTCTCTGGACTTCTGTGACTTCTGTTCATAAATTCTCTGAGACTTTTCTGTACTTCCCTGAAATTCGCGGAACATCTCAAGGGTTCTCGATTTGTTTTTCAGCACATCACGGAACTATCTTGAATTTATCTAAATTTACGATTATAGTGTTTTAATCTATATAGCTTTTCTGATGTGCTTAGAACTTCTTAAAAATTTGCACAATGCCCCTCAAGTTTTCTCAATTTCTCAAGTTCGCTTGACACCTGTGAAGTTTTCTGAAATTCGAGAAACTTCATTAAAGTTCCTGAAAAGTCTCGGATGCTAAAAGAACCACTTTGATGTTCTTACAGCTTCCAGTAAATTTCCCATATTTTCAGCGTATAAACTTCTCTTATGTTATTGCAGTTTGTTTTTAAGAGATGAACTAGCCTATGGCTAAAAATCTCTATAATAAAGGAAAAAAAAAAAAAAATATTGCAGTTTGTTTATAGAGTTTCACTGAAAATCTCAGAATTTCCTTTCATTCCGCAGAACTTCTCCAAAGTTTATACAATTGTTGTAAAGTTAATGGGACTGCATTGAAGATCTCTAATCTTTCATAAAGTTAATTACGAACTTTAAATAAATCATTTCTCGATTACTTTTTCGAAGGGACGTATCAGCTTTTGTAAACAATGCATTTGATCGTCGATTTGACGTAACTGGTAGCTCGCCCACACATTCTAACACACTACCCACTGATAGGGGAATTTTTCTCCTACCTGATAGTGGTGTTAGTATGCGTGGGCGACGTACCAGTTACGTTAAATCGACGATCAAATGCATTGTTTACAAAAGCTGATGCGTCCCTTCGAAAAAGTAATCGAGATTCATTTTTTTACTTAATTCTGGCACTTTGAATATTTTCAATATCTTGAACTTGTACATGGAATACGAAACTTCAAGACATTGAATATGTTTAGATCTTGGACTTGCTTACTTGGAAAACTCAGGTAATTTTATCCAGAAAAATTTGTAGACATCCTGAATACAGAGAAAGACGATTAAACGTCACAACGCAAAGAATAATCAATCTTGAAATAAATTCACGTTAAACAAGTTGAAAATAGTGACTTATTACAAGAAAAAGTGACTTTAGTGACTTGGCCTAAAAAAATAGACTTTTTAGTGACTGACTTGAAAAAAGTGACCAAGTCACTAAAAAAGTGACTCGCTACCAACCCTGCGATATTTCTTTTTAGAAGGCTTAGGCTTGAACAATTTAAATTCAGAAAAAAAGTTCTTTGAACAAGAAACATATTTTAGATATTGAAGACATGAACCGTTTCTTCAAAGTTCTTGGGCGTATTGCAATTTCAAGGTTTCGTACTTTAAGTTTGAAACTTTACCACTAGCAGCACTTCCAAAATACTTCGTTTAAACACGTCAAAATAATGTGGGTTCATGTTCATGTGGATTCAACTGAATATTTAAAAAAAATCACAATCAAGTGCAAATGAAAAAAAAGTTCCCGAATGTGGCCCTTCAAACCACTGTGCAAAGGTGGTGTAACTTTTTTAAAGTACGTCTCAAAACTTGAGATAGCTGATTAAACTAAAATAATGATATAAATTGGATCAGACTTTTCATCAGCGATTCAAAATTCCTATGCACTTAAAAAAATCAGATCAAAAACTTAGTTGAAAGTGAAACTCTGAAGTTCTGCAAACCCAATAAAGCATTTTTAATCATCAAACCATACCATCATAAAGATATCCCACACTGGCCGCTCTGAATGCCTCCGGTACACAAAAGCAGCATGGTTACTGGAATAGGAGAGCACGAGGCAAAGCGAGAGAAAGAGAGAATAGGTAAACGAGGGGTACATTAACCAGCAATGCCAGCCGGAGCCGGAGCGAGTAAGCAGCGGAGCAGTCAAGCAAACGACGAATCGACGACGGACGTTGACGGGGAAAGAAAAAAAAAGATTGAGGTTAGGAACCGGGCTCGGAACGGTGATGATGCACGGATGGATGCGGGGATGGGTATGCGGAGTATGGAAGCACACCAAAATATCGATTAAATGTCTCTCCCATCGCATAATAACTTTTGCTGCAATTCCGACAGTCTCTGTCTACTTCCATGTGTATATGCGCGGAGTATAAGTAAATTTGCACACAGAAACTGCAGTTGCAATCCCGGTATCGATCAACTAGGGACTTGGGTGTTGAGTAAAAAAAAGTAAATAAAGAAAAATGTTACATACCTCTTAAGCTCACAGCGGAGATATCCGAATTACGTCAGAAGTTTCACCAAAACGAATGTAATCCACACCGCTTTACTGCGCTGAGAAGCAAATTTCTCTTCTCCTTTCTCCGTTATAACTTTTTTTTTCTTTCTTTATATGAATGGATATCCAATCAGGAGTGCAAGAAAACACCTTTTCGCACTGCACACTTATCCGGTTATAACTCCCGTATAATTGGTCACAGAAACAACTTTTTCACGAACTCTGAACAACTTTCATTCACGTTTCACTCCCACAATCTCCCAATATATGTCATACGACTGTCAAATTTGGTTTCCTTGTAAACACTCTCTTCCCTGTTTGCTGCGGATAGGACGAAAAAAAGACAACACGTCACGCGATATTTCTTGCACAATGAAAATCACTTCCGATTGTGATCCAAGGGCCCTCGGATGATTCACACTATTATGATTGCTATTTACTTCCAACTAAGGAATTTGTACTCTTCTTTTCACAACAACGTCGACGTGTAATCCTTCTAGGTAAACGGTACACCCAAAAGTCAATCTTTCTATGGCTTGCAGATTGGAACACGGGAACGACGACCATACAACGCGACTGTCCACTCTACAATAATCAGTAGCAAAAGGTACTCGGATTCTCGGACTCTGTGTGATGGGAGTGCTTGAAAAATGCGGTCGTCTGACTGGCCGTAATCGAGAGGAATGAAAATCGTCGTCCACGGTGAGCAGATTTTTCGCTTTCCTTCACTATTGTAAGCTCAACTCAAAACTACTCTTGTCTTCCGTCTGTATAGCCGTCCGTAGTAGAAATACACATGATTCGGCGATGCTCCGCCACTCTAGCTGGGAGGAAAACACGCGATTGTTGCACACACCTCTCCAATCGTCATCATCATCATCATCCATTCAAACGAAGCCGGAGAGTGACAGAGGGGTACCGTTGTTTGCGGATGGAGTTTTACCCGGTATTATTTTTTCTGGATCCTTAGACACCTGGTTTTCGGTAGTAAAGAAACCATTTGCGGTCAGTATTCTATACTACCAAAGATCAGGCAGCTAGGGCTCGGAAAAAATGAATACCGACTAAAACTCCATCCGCAAACAACGGTACCTCTCTGTAGTTTTGAGATAGCGGTTAACTACGAGAACAAGAGAGACAAGCCACACGATGATGACAGAAATTTAGCCGTGACGGTTTCGATTCGAAATTTCAAAACAAACCAAATTTGATCGCGTTTACAAGTAACATCTGTTAAAAATTGCATTCATGCAGTTCACAAAATCCTCTAAAAAGAAACACAATTTCGCCATTGTTTACCTCTACACACACTTTCTGTCAACAAAAAATATCTCTCACCAAATCTCTCTCGACGCCCCCGTCCGACTGCCGCTAGTCAACCAACCGTCATCGACCCCACCATCGCCGTCATCCCTCCATTCGCACCACTAGCTTCATTCAACGTGGATCATTCTCTCGTCGTCGTAGCGCGCGGATGATCACATCAAAAACTCGTCACGACGCAAGAGAGCACCCAAACACCCCGGAGAACGAAACGACCGAACGGACCAATCCGGACACGGAAAATAGTGGCGTGATGTTTACGTCACCATGTTTTTCATGCTCCCCGTGCGGATTCTCTCTCCCATCGTGCCATCATCGACATGTGCTGTTTGATTCGCGAGAGAGAAAACCGTCACGCGAGGAAGAGCAAAAAAAAAATTACAGCAACGAACTTTCAATTCGATCACATTTTCAAAACGAATCTAGTTTGTAGATATTACCTTACGAAAACGGCGTTCAATAACTTCCGAATATCACACTTTAGAACTGATAACTATAATCACTCTGAAACGATTGTTAAGCACGGATAATCCTCAATTTCATTGATAAAATGCTCCGTTATCTTACGAGTGCGGTCTCTGCGATACGCGCGTATCGATTTTTGAATTATTTTTCTTTTTTTCCTTTCCTGTTTTGTTTAGATGTACCCACTGGGGAAAATATGGGTGCACGGGTGGCTTCAGTGGAAAAGGCCGAAAATGACAATCACTTCAAACGACGCCCAAGGTGAATACAACTTGTTCACTCAAAGAGATTAAAAACTATATACACTTATAGCGAATTCGTTTATTATCGGGGTTGCAACCAGTTCCAACCCAGTGCGAAACCGAGCTTTTTGTCAGTGCGAACCTCAACCTGAGCTAGGTTTTAAAAACAAACGAGCAAACTGACGTTTGTCAGAAAACAAGCAGACCCAATCTTGATACCCGATCCAGGTTGGAACTGAATAATAAACGAATTCGCTATTAATTGACAAATCCAAGTTAATGCCGGCCACCGCAGCGCTGTAATCGTAGAGCAGTGATGAACTTGAGATCATCTGTCAAACTGCATATATTTTCAAGTTTGTGATAAGAAAACTATGTTTTACGTGTTATTGTAATTGCTATATTCAATCACAGAAAGCAAATATGAACAGAAAAGTAGCGCCGGTAAGAATGGCAACCCGCATAAACGCGAACCATAAATTGACCTTACCTAAAATGGTTAAAAATTGTTTATAATCCCTGCTAAACTTTAACTGAAATGGTTATGGAACTTTACATGAACGTTTAATGATAAAATTTTAACCTTATGTATTATGGTTTTTTGGAACTGGACCTTACAAATAATGGGTTGTTAAGAACCATTACCATTCCAAATTCTTGTTTTCTCCATACATTTTCAGAAAGAGAACTATATAAGAACGTTTTTACTTATGATTTGAGAACATTAATGGTAATGGTTATGGTAGTCAGTAAGGTCCATTAATGGTTTTGTATTATCGCTCAACTTTACGTGGAATATATCGTGAATTGGTAATCAGTAAATTACAGGCAACCAATTCGCGATATATTCCACATAAAGTTGATCGATGTTACAAAACCATTCGTGAGTACCTGAAATAAATGAAGGACACTAATTTTGATTTTCGTCACAATATTTAGGCTGTTATTCGGGCTATTTTTTCTACATAATCTGTTAAAAGAAAGTATTATTAAGCGTATTGGATGATAAGAACAGCTGATCATTGTCGTGCCACTGCTTGTGGGATATATGGTGGGTAAAATAATCATTTTACCCACCATACATCACACAATCATGTTTTTGGAGTTGTGTTATTAACGAAAGAGAGAGTCGATGAAGAGAATCGATCAATGTAGATTGGTCTATTTGAAAGGTGACGCGAGAATTCGCGCTATTCGCGTTGACGAGAGCTCTGTAACTCTTCACTCCTAATGGAGAAATCCCATATGTAACTGTCAGTTTATGTGTGAAACATAGCGGACTTTCTCTTATTCTCTCACTCTAATGCAAAATCCCACGTCACTTCGGGACTGGTGTCAAGGCGAAATCCACTTCAGAAATATACACGGTAATCGCAAAAAACTCTTTTATGACTTTAAAGTACGCATTTTTGAATGAAAACGGGACTACCCACAAAATGAGTAAAATTTAACACATTTATGAGTAATTACTAGTACAAAAATGAATAAATTTTATGCAGTTATGAGTAACAGATACTCATAAAAGGTTTAAAAAATACACACATTTTAGATGTAGTTCCGTTTTAGCCGAATATGCATACTTTATAGTCAAAATTGAGTCCTTTATTGGAAGATTGCCGTAAAAGCTCGACGCAGATGTCGCCACGGCATGATGATGATAATGTTGACAGACTGCATATAAAATTCGTGAAAATTAGCATTAAATCATAATTTTTATCAAGCCTCCGTAAAATCCTTCCAATATAACATTCGAATTGAAGAAGAAAATGTTTACATGATCATACTGATGTGCATCTTTGACTTTTCCAGATGAACTTTCATTAGATATATTCATTTAATTTCACAGCTCCATCAATGCTGCATCGTACATATGATGTAAACAGAAGTAAATTGCTCAATAACTCAAAATAAAGATGATTTGTCATCTTGTTATTGTCGGGTCGAGCCTAACTCCGGCCCTGTTGTATTATATAATAAAGAACAGTAGAAACATGGCAACCCTGATAAAGTCATGTGAGGTACGTGGGATTTCCGGATAGGGAGAGAAGAGAGCGAACGTTGAGAGTACGAGGTTGTGTTAGAGGGTTCGAGAAAATAAAAAGTGATAAATCAGAAGTAACAACGCATGTTTAATAGGTTGAATACATCCGAAACTCTACAGTATTATAAACCATCGAGCACCATTTTATAGTATGGTGCGTGTTGAGTTAATCAAGTTCCGTAGCGGTTTCCGTCGAAAATTGTGAGCATCAATATGTTTACCTAAAAAAGCTAAAATGAACATTTATTGAATATTGGCGTCCTATACATCCATTTCTCCATTATCACCAGGATGATACAATCTTTCTTAAGTAAATTCACTTAATTTCCACTTTCATCTTAGTGGAAATCGCACATATTCACCATTTTCCGAAAAATTCAGCTGCGCAGGAGGTAACCTCTACCTGTGCGTGCAAACTTTTTATGCATAATTTTCCATGAAAACATCTCCGATCCATACAAAAATAATAACAGTTAGTTTGCAAACACGTTTTCTTACACGATTCAAGGAAAAGTTTCCACCGGAAATTATTAGTTTTTCTTTATGTACCGATTTGCCCCAAAAATCGTCTGTTTTACTTGGAGAATTTAGAAACTATCCTCCTTCTAGTAGTTCTCACTTCGAAATGTAGGTGGCGAAAGCTTGGAAAAGTTTCACTGCAAGACGTCAATAGTCATTTTTGCGTATTTTGCGGTTTCCGTGTATAGAAGAAAAGAAATATCGACAGTGAGCATGCATAAGGGCGAATACGCGATGATCGATTCTCTTCATCGATTTTCTCTTTGCATTGCTACAGCTAAGCGAAACAATTTTCTAGAATTTGTTCAATGCAGAGTATACTCTAACTAACTATAGTAACAGGTTGTATTGGCTATCAAAAGCAACACCAAACGCACCGAGAACCGTTAAATCTAGCGAGTTATTAACAAAAGAGAAAATCGACGAAGAGAATCGATCATCGCGTATTGGCCCTTATGCATGCTCACTGTCGATATATATAGCATTGACCAAGGTGGCTACATATAGGTGTTCTAATGTGTCAAATTCGTGATTCAGCTATGTTGAATTTTCGTATGGGACAGCGACCGAGTTTGTTTACAATTTGCTCTAAAACCGCATTCCCCCCCCCCCCCCACGACCTCATCGCCTATATAGTGACAAAGCTGTATCACCATTTATATACCCACCATGGCATTGACGTCATTAGAACTTGATGTTTAAAGCCTGGTACGCAGCTGAAAAGAAAACGGAAAAGTAATTTTTGAGGATTATTCCCAAAAGTAAATTTGACAGCTATAGGGAGGTGTCTTTTGCTAAATTTTGAGATCATATGTAGGTGTCGTCTAATTTTAAAATCAACAATTATCAATTTTTATGTTGTTAAAATGCATCCAAAACATCATTTTTACAACAAACGTTAAAATTACCTAACGGAATAATTGGTCAGACCATTATTCCGCAAGGAAAATGAAATTGCATTC